ATAAAAAATATAACAATTATATTCTTAATATGTACTCTAAATTACAAAAACCTAAGAATTAATTAATTATTATTAGGTAGTACCGCTAGAAGTCTATAGGCCAGAGAATTTAAATTTTTGAATGGTGGATATATATAATAATTTCAAGACGCGTTTAAGAAGAGTAGAAAAACCAAAAAAAATTAATAATAGAAAAGGAGTTTTTCTAACATATATCTTTTAAAAGTATAAGATAAAAATATTTTTATTATAAATATATATAAAAAATTTATAAAAACTAATATTAATTTTAGTGTTAGTCTCAAGTGAATGAATTTAATTAAATAATTGATAAATTAAATATTAATTTTTATTTTTTAATACAAATTTATAATAAAAATATATATTTAATACACCTTTAACTTATATTGTAAGGATACAGATTAAATAAACTTATAAAAAAAAAAAACCTAGAATAAGGGTGTAAGGAGTTTGAATTACTCAAGAGTAGCTTAATTCGAGTTTAATTATAGAAAAGTATAGTTGTTAGTAACCGTTAGTAACCGCTCCATTATTGGTATATTTTTTATTTAACATATTTAATAATATATTTAGGAGTTAATACTTGTCCACTTTATTTTCAAAAAATTAAGAGAAAAAATGATTAAAAAAAACACTTTAATTCATACTTTAAAAATATGATATTTTAGTCTTTTTAATAGGTATTTGTTAAAATAACATAATTTTAGAATAATATTCCTTTTAATCTTTAGGAGGTAAAACAAATAAATACTATTTCCATACATTTATTAAAAAATTATTATTTTTAAATTTAAATTTAAAACAAGAAATCTTTCAGTTATAAATTTTAATAGCTAAATTGATAGATATGTATTAAATTGGAGAGTATACCAATTATTTTTCCTAATAATTTGATAACAAAAAGCCTCAAAGAGTGTCATAAATGGTTAAAAACTTGAGATTTAAATATAAAGATCTTAAATTCAAATATTGAGATAAGTGAAGAGAGAGATTTAAAAAAGTGAAAAGTTATCTCTTATTTTATAGTTGATGTAGTAAAAAAATTGATAATAAAAATTAGGTTAAAACCTCCACTTGGTCTTTTTATTTGATAAAAAGTTCATTTTTAGTTCCTTTATTTAAAAAAAAAAAACACCTCTTTTTTATTCTTAAAGTTTGAAATCTAATCTCTTTTTAGTATTTTTGTTAAGTTTTGATGTTAGATGATAAGAAATCCAGCCTCTTTTTAGTTCTTCTATTAAGTTTTGATGTTAAATGATAAAAATTTTAAAGGAAAGTGACAAAAAAATGGGTTTTTTTTTTTTTTTTTACAAGGTAAAGGGATCAAATTGGGGTTATTTTGAGCCCCTCTTTGGTTTTTTTATTTTAAAATTTTCGTTGTTTAATGTGATATATATGTAAAATTTAATAGAATGATTAAAAAATGGTTAGATTTCAAATTTAATTTTAGAAACCAAAATTAAGTTTTTTTTAAATAAAAGGATTAAAGATGGTTTTTTTTTTATCAAAATAAAAAAACTAAAATGGGAATTTAACCTAAAAATTATTGTGTAGTTTGAACTACACCACAAAGTTGGTGGAGGGAGGGCATTGTTGGATCAAGAAGCGTGTCACTTATCCAACAATTACTATTATGCAGTTGAGTGTGATTGGGCTGCAATACAGTAGACCCATTTGATAATATTAAGATAAAAATAAATTTTACATTATTATATAGAGAGTACTCACAAACTATTTGTTTTCTAGATGATCAATAAAACCATAGAACCTATGCTAAATACTTCTAAACTTGATCATAAAACTCGAGCTCAACTCCGATTTGATATGTATGTGTTGAAGTCTAGCTTGAGCTCAAGTAGTGACTATCCCACATTCTCAACTTGACTTGACTTGACTTGTTTACAATCCTAAATAAGAAAAACATGCATGCAGAAGGTTGTTGGAGATGTTTAATGCGAAAATTGATGTATGATACAATAGAGTTGGATTTTCTACAACACCAAAAAAATAAACAACGTACTGCTTGCTGTCTGTCTCTTGGCTTTACGTTAGAAATACTTAAATGAAAATGCACTCCCATATGAAACTGCAATTACTTCTTTCCTGCAGAATTCATTATTGAGGACGAAAGAAGAAAGAACAACATGGGGATCGATCATCGTCGGCACGGAGATACCGTGTCTGCTCATTCAAGTCCATGAAATAGAGAAGACAAGTTTTGCAGCCATATTTCACCCTCCTCATTTATGATCTTTCTATTTTTCTCTCATTTCATGCACAGAGTCACACATTGTCGTCTTCACTGTTTTTATTTTCTTTTTCTTTTGTTCTCTTTTTGTTCTTGATGATCAATTAATAAACACAGTAAAAACTGTTTGCTTTTTGTTTCTGTGTGATGTAATTTACGAGAGAAAAAACTTTAGAAGACATTCTCGAGATCACTCCAGTTGTTGTATTTGGTTTTGCAGAATAACGGCTTTTTCTCAGTAGAAACTGCTTTCTTTTCCATTGATGGAAGTAATTCTTCAACTGTTTATAATGATAATGATTCTTCTGTCAGCTTAGTTCTTCTGGAGATTTCTGATCTGGTGACTGGAGTCCTCTTTATTTGTACTACTATTATATTTCTTCTCTAGATTGGTATTTCAACGAGAAAGATATTTTTTTTAAAAAAAAAGAAAAATTGTAATAATGTGATCCTAATTCCAAACTAGAAGCCAAGTTGCAGTAGCCTGACATGCCGCCCATTTAGAATTGAAGAACGCCTTAAATTTTAAACCTAACAATTTGACAGTACTCCCATATATTGGTGTATATCATATGTCTGTTACTAGCAAATAAACAATGCGTATAAATAATCCCATAAATATTTCTCCTTTTTATGGGAGAACTGAGATTGAATTGCATTCATCCTTCATTTTTTTTGGGCCAACAGAACATGCATTCATCCTTTATTAACTGAATAAGTGCATGAAAGAGGAAAAGTAGATTAACATAAGGTTACTTAATTACCATACCAATCCTCTCAGGTTCTTTGATTATATTTTCTAGCCGACAAAGAAAATACAATGTAAAATTTACCAATTAACTTAAGTGAGATCAACCCCACTCCTCACTTTGGATAAAATGGGTATTTAAGTTTTTTCTTGAGTCATCGATAGATATATTTGTATATTGTTCCATGATAAAACTCTATCTTAATGACGGTAAAAGTGATTTATTAAAATTATTTGCACTCAAATAGTAATTGAATGGCTCAAATCCACACTCTTAGACGTAGTTGCATCCATGCCACACGTGCCAACCCAATGGGTTCAGTTCAAGAATTAATATGCTTAATTAATTAGAATAACTAGAAAATCCATTAGGAAGTAGGTCTTCTGTAATTAATAATTAAAGCATATAGAATATCCAAAAGGCATAGACTTTCTATTGTCACTTTGCTTATAAGAAAAAAAACATAAAGAATATATGTAGTGACTTCACATGCAAGGCTATATGGTTGTTGTCATGTAATAAAGTCTTAAAATCACATAAATTTTAACAGTTTGTTTTCATACACT